CTTTCCAAACAAACGTGATACATACGTACGTACCATTCGAACAGTTTTATAGCAAATAAATTTTATGCCACTGAACACTTTTATAACCGCGTCACAAAAAGTGTTGGCTCACAATAACAATAGAATTGTATCAATAAATTGGTGAATTTCGTTTTTTTTCATCAGTAAAATGGTTTTTGATCATATAGTTAAAGTAATTTCAACTAGTAAACAACATCGTACAATCACACTTTCTTAAAATCTTATCGCGATATCACAAGATTGATCTGTCTGTATAGAGAAGTTATGATCACATGACATGCGCTAGTATTGAAATTTGGCAATACTGATGTGATGAAACTGCCTGCCACTAAACAGTCGCTGATCTGATCAACGCGGCGCAGCAAACTTTTCGGTAGCAAGTTGAATTTGCAGTTGCACTAGAAATTCCAGAGTCCAGCTAATAATGAGGTAAAAATTTTGAAGTTATTCACANTCACAAACACGTTGACAGATGGAAAATTATACTGGCTCACTCGACTGCATCATACTAGCCACTTCTCAGTTAAAGTCACTCGTAGGTGATCACAAATTATAAGGGCTTATAAGAGTTTTCGCGTAGTTTTATGTGGTATGAAATAAGAGAAAAATTTTGAATAATGTCGTCGTATGAAATGTGCGTGAAAAATTATACGTTCATAGAAATACCCCATAGTGATATTTTTTCAATGACTATGGAACTGATGAGAGAATGGAAATGTTCTTTGTAATTCAGTCGTTTCAATAACAGCACAAACACACCCAGTCAATCATCGATCACAGCAACCATCGTCGTCCATCAATCAAAATTGGACCGGAAGTGAGAAATATGAATGATAGCGATGATACTAATAACAACATCACGAATGATCACCAAAACATTCATGTGAATGACATTAATTTGATAAATGGCAATAGTATTGATGATAGAAATGATAATTGAAGATAATATTGATGAGGTGTGACGATGATTAGATGTTTTTTCGTTGGTTATTTGGTGATATATTACGGCATGGCGTAAATGAATAATGCTCGTTCACTGCATGCTCATGTAATGTAATTGATGACATGCTCTCATGATCACGAATTCGGTTTATTGTGTTTGAGCACAGGAAGTTGCGCGAGAATTAGGAAGGGGAATGAAAGGAACAGCAGCAGCAGCAGTAGCCGGAAGTGTGATAGTAAACATCCATGAATAAGAAATTTTACTGAATGATTCAATTTCGCATTTTTTAGCGGACGAATAGTAATAAACATATATGGAACTATTGCCTATAGACTTGTGTCACAAATATTTTTTTGCATAATGCAAATGGGGATATCTGAATTCAAAGTTTACGTCTGGAAAAGTGATTTTTAAAAATGATTTAAAAAAATGTTATTTTGAAATGTGGTTAGGAAAGTATCAAATGATATCAAATGATAAATGATAAAAGTATCAAATGATAAAAGACTGTGCGCTAATGATGTGTCTAGAAGGAATGAATTGATGAAGAGTTTCGAGAGATTCGCATGATAATCAATTGATAATATAGAGACGTTGAAATGTCAAACGAATTCCCCCGTCAGGGGATTAGCACTAATAATAAGGTGTGCTATGCTGTGAGATTGTGCGAGATGATATTGGATTTTTTTAATTTGAAAAAAAAAATTCTGAGATATAAAGTTTTTTTTTGCTGATTTCAGACACGAAATGATATGACGAGTGCAGAACGTAGCAGCTCTACATGGCGTCGTAAGCAATGGACCCAACGTGGTTGGTCAACTACCACAATCGCTGATTGGCGACCCAGTAAAGCGGCTGCGTATCGGTTCGTCCCGTTTATTTTTCACTTTCACTTCATGTTTGGCTTCGAAATTTTGTTTGCCACTAATAACTACCGTCAGGGGATTAGCACTAATAATACTAATAAGATGTAGTCAGCTGGCAATAAATGTGGATCTAGTTGGTTAGTCAAAAGATGGACAATGAAATGGCAAATGGATAAACAGCAGCAACACATTGACTTGTGAAGAATCCGAATCAATCAGCAATAACATGATCTATGAGATAGGTACACAGAACAGAAGTAAACACTGATTTATAAAGCACTGACTAATTCTCTTACATATTATTTTACGGCTGATTTCAAACGTATTGTTTCCGATTGCGATCGTCGAATCAACAAAAATCTCAAATGCATTCAGTTGAAGCATGCGAACACTCTAAGAGAATGTGAAATTCATTGTTTCACTATAAGCTGCGGCGAGATTATATTTGCTTTGAAAATGTGGCTTGTGACTTTGAAACACCCATCGATACGCTCATCGTGCATTTTATTAACCAACATCATTCGTGATCCGTGTGCTGCTGCACTGTTCGGCAAACCCTCTCATCGCTTAAATTAGATGGCAAATTTGCCAATTTCATAAGCGCGCTTAGCGGCCGGAATGAATGGTTGGCCAATAACATGAACCATAAAATTGTTTTATTAGCGTGAAATTCTTTCATATTAAAATTTCTCAAATTCTTTACTCATTCACCACTAAAACCCTATTGTGAGCATAATTTCAGCTAGTAGAGCCAAACCAAATCGCATTGTATGACACTGTAAAACACACAACAATGATCACGTCACCACATTACAGCACAATCCACGAATGAATAACAACACATTAAACGCCGCAAAATCACATAAAACACGCCGAATCATCACAATCAGTAATAATGACTCAGTTCGGCAAATCATCAGCTGCATAGAATACGATTACGAACAAAATAGCGCAATTCAATTTACGTCAACATTTCAAATCGCACGTATTTTACAATAAACAAACTGTTGAAATTCATCAGCATCAGCACATTCTCATTGTTGATAGAATTTCTTTTCACCGTTATACTGATCATCAGATGTGATGACGCAGTTGAAAGCTGAAAAACATGAGTTAGCGAATGATAGATTCGAATGTGTTGCAGTTTTTGTGGTGTGCTTTTCTAACGATTCAGGCAGATTTTTTAGTTTTTATTTTTCAATTACATTGAGCCATCGTAATTAATTGAACCATCGTAATTAGTTTCATTGAACCACGTAAGCAATTTCATCGAATCATCGTAATTAATTGCTAGCTAGTAGGTGAATTTGTTGAAATTGTTGTTGCTCTCTAACGTCATCTCACTCACTGTTTAATTCTACCGATATTGCGTTCATTGAAGAAGCATTGCGTTTGCGTTTGCTTTTTACTTATGCCTTCAATCGTTTTCACGATGCTGCTAGCTTATTAGCAGCTAGTGACGTTGTCTTCCACTGAAATCTCTACTGAAACCAGTTTATATCAGTGAACAATTCTGGGGCTAGCTAGTGTCGGTTGATATTGGTTGTGTGCTGGTGGTGGTGTACAGTTCACTCGTTCGGGTTAGATTTCATTTGTTCTGTTTGATTTCGAAGCGATTCAGTGATTCATTACCGCAGATGTTCTACACTCCTAATTCATCTAAATCATCCATCGTATCATTACACCATCACACCAGATTTCATTTCATTTAATAGACGTCGTTGTTGG